GTTTTTTGTGTCCATATTCTGACACGTGTCTGTCCCGTCACGGGGGGAGTGTCGGGGTCTCAACGCCCCAGCTGAGAGCATGAGACTGCGAGTCTCAGTTGTGAGATTAACTTTTTCGTGGGTAATTTTCCTCGCACTTCTCTGTCTCACGATCAAGGTGTCTGAGTGCGGGTCTCTTTTGTGGGGTCAAATTTTTATGTAGCAGAAATTACTCGTACTTTTTTTTCATGGGCCCGTGTGGCAAACTTTCGAAAATAATTGCGAGTTCGTTACTCCGTCAGCCAATCACTGACGGCTCATCTAGTGAAACACACACATAGACGAGAAATCGCCCGTTACGTGTACTTAGGCCGCTGCGTATACTTAGGCCGCTACGTGTACTTAGGCAGTTACGTGTACTTTGGCAGTGACGTTTGCTTAAGCCGCTACGTGTACTTAGGCCGTTACGTGTACCATAGTGCGTTGATAGTGCGTCCGCAGATGAGTAGCGCACCTGTCATGTTACTTTAATTGTTTGCATAATATTTCTGAAACGCTTCATCGAATATTTGCCTACAATTCATCAATGTCACCGTCCATTTGAGGCCTTACGCAAATATTCGGTGCATAATATTTTATGATTTCAAACTAACTTTAATCACAGGATAATTTAACGACGTGCAACCGGTGTGAAATTTTCATTGTAAAACGTGCAAAAACTTCTAAATTTACACTTAAAGGCCTAAACAAAACTCAACATTCTGTTAGATTCATAATATAAGTGAGCTCTGATTAATATTTCATGTCTCAGTCGCTAAGGCATTTCTGCGACTCACAGCACAAACATCGTCGGCCAAATCATCGCTTGCACTTGTGCAACAACAGCCGCTGACACGCAGTTCATCTGCTCGCAATTGAGTAATATATTCATCTCGGATGGCGCAATATTTCCATAGGCTTGTGATGTTCGAGCAGAGCTGCTGATTAATGCACGTCCGTACGTCTCTTTCTGAAGGGCGTCTGTAAAATTCAATGCTCATGACAGCCTCTTGACTCGCAACACGAGTCCGTTGCACTGCAGCAGGCACAAGCGTTCACTGAGAAATATGAATAGATCATGTTGTCCATATAGTGACTCGCTTCCTGCACGTGGCTCTGATGCGCTCTTTTGCCGAGCCAAACTGGGTCAAGATTGATCACAGAAGGGATAAAATTTACCGTTATTTGGACACAGTTGTTGTGATCGGCATACCGTATAATAATTGTTTGTTTAGTTGAATCTTTATTTATCTCTGTTATTCTGCAATTCTGAAATTTTGTAAGCCCATCTTTAATTTTATTTATTCTTAACGTATTTTTCTCAATTATTAGTTAGACTTAAGAACTGAAAAAATGGTTCTTTGGAGAACGACGCGTCCGTAGTTAGGGAGAATTTTCGATACGAGTTAGTAAGTTAGTGGAAGCCGTTGGTGGAAGTCGCATGTACACAGTGTAAAGTCTATGAATTTAACGGCGAAAATTACTGTCTTGTTTTTATCCTCCGCAACAAAGTGTACTACCGAACTAGACGATCACACAAGGCTTTTATGAAGTGGTAGCCACGTATAGACTGCGGCGACGTGTGCGCCACGACACAGTTACACTCGTTTCCTTTAGTATTATTGAGCTGACTCGACTGTAGTGCACTTTCACATGATATGTGATAATAATGTCACTATTTATATAATTCTTTGATTTTAAGGTAAAAGAGTGCACGTAGAGAAATTTCGTGGAAATAAAACATCCGATGGTCACTTTAGTGCCGCTAATAATTTTTTTAACGAATTTCACTCCCCAGGTAATATTTAATTCATATTTTAATAAATTGAGCACAGCAGCCCAAGATAACGAAAAATTATATCTGCGTTTTAGCATATGTTCTATTTAGCTCTTATTTACATTTGGTTTATAATAGCGTCGATACATTACGTTCTCCTACACTGAGATTATGTTTGAATCATCCTGCAATGCAAATAATTTATGAACCGTTTTGAGTGCACTAAATCCGAGCAAACTCTGAATCTTCGCGGCATTTGGACCTCGCCTATAAACGATGTAACCATAATGCTGATAACGCGCCGCGTTCAAGGGTTGTAATTTTCTTATAAGAGAATATTAAGGGCGAAACGTTTTTCGTTTCTTTGAGTATCATGAATATAGGTTCAATAGCAAGGCATGAAAGGGAGAGAGCGAGAGGTATATTTTCTCGCTTCAAATCCAACAGGTTTATATAAGAGCGGCGTCTTTACAAACGAGTCTGTTTTATAGCAGCCATAACTCAAAAAGAGGAGCCTTCCTTTGCATCAAGTCTATTGTGTTGCTGCTGCTGTTGTGTCGAGGCCTCCCTCGCTCGCTGCGATCTTCCGTTGCCGTGGCTGTCGAACCTTAGAATTGCGAGGTGTGCTTTATTTTGGCTCGGTTAAACATAGATGTAGATTTTTAAATCATTTTACTGCTTCAAGATCATCTTTTGCACATGTGATCTTAAGTTGACTTTGAAATTTTGGCTCGACACTGAAAGATTCCGTATTATCCTTGCGTGAATACTGAAAATTTCTTGAACGACAGTTTTTTGTCGGCATTGAATCTTATGTCCAATTTGATTCATGGAAATAACCAATTCCGATAATGAAATAATTGTCCTGCAGTTGACAGATTTATTAATAATGAAAATTATTCCCCTTGCTAAGGGAAACAACTAAATTGAATTCAAACTATTTGTACGAGTTCAATCCTTGTTACATCACATTAAAATGCTGTATTGTATTATATTATATTATATTATATTATATTATATTATATTATATTATATTATATTATATTATATTATATTATAAAAATCAATCGTAATAAAATACCGACGTCAAGATGACGCTGATGGTCTGGTTTGCGTGGTGCAGCAATTGAGTTTCATCGTAATTTTACTATACATAATTCGTATACGCGCTTGTTTGGATATGAACTTTCGAGGTTGCATTTGATTTTAATGGTTTTTACTGTTCTTCTATTGTAGTTAGCTGCATAGAAATGTAGGATGGAGTCCCGTTGTTGACTCCTTGTGTGTTTTATATGTTTGGTCCTTGATCTTCTTAAGATCTATTCCAGAAGGTAAGGAAATTTTTAGCTGCGACTGAGGCAGCAAATAGACGCGTCTCTCGGCAAGGCTATCACGGTCTTGGTTTGCATTATTCAAGGTTTCTATTTACACATTGAACTCGGGACGATTTTTGTCGATGTTGACAGGAGCATTTACTCGATGCAAGCCTAATGCCGTCGATATCATTTACTCAATGTCATCTTGTTACTGGATTTGATGTCGCGCGCTATTTTCTATACGAGAAGTGCGTTTTCTTGTACATCGAAAGATCGGCTTCGGAATTACGGACCGTCGTGCGCTTTGATGCAGTAAGCGTGTAGATTCCATACGAATATCTCCTGCAAGTCGATTCGTACATTTATCTCTCAAAAATAAGTTTAACGATGATGGTTTTGTCTTGTTGTTGTTTTTATATGTGTTGTTTATTCCTCTATTTTAGCCCAATTTTTTGAGTGATTGTGAACAAATTTACCAAAGCCTTTAAATTATGTTTTTAATTTTTTCGAATTATGGTTAAAAAATATGAATGAGCTTGCACTCACAATGCAAATAGGTGTATTGTTGCGTATTTGTTGTTCTCTTTAAGTCATTTTTTATCGTTATGTTTCTTCACTGTGCTGCCAAAAGGTGAGATGTAGAAATGAAATATTTATCTTTCATATTTTTGGTAAAAGTTCGCATGAAAATTTTTAATTCACACTGCGCATGAATGTATGCCATTACTCCGATGATAAAAGTGTGATTTTTAACATCTTTATAGATAATTTCTGTATCGACGCGGGATTTCCTGTTTTAAATATTTCAGTTCTTCATTGTTTCTGAAAGAAAATTATCTTTGATTAAAAGAATGAACTCGATGATTGGTTTTGCTTGGTTCATCAAGAACAAATGTTTTATTTAAACTAATTGCATTTATACTGTTTTATTCGTTGAAAGTGCATCGGGTGCACCAATTGTTTTCAGTTATAATGGTGCTCAATTCATCGAAACTAGAATATCATAAAAATGCAAATTAAATGTATTACTGACGGATTTTATTTCCAATGGTCCATCATACATTAAAATTGATCATTTTGAAAATCGATAAATTTGTCATACTTCACGTCTCACGCAGTAACCTAAATTACGTGACGAACATACACACCGTGGTTCTGCATGGTATAATTAACTTGCACAATTTTCTTCCAGGATCCGATTAATCTATCGTAGGTACTGAAAAGTATTGAAAACTCTACGGTTTTGACTATAAATATTTAACTATCTCAGACGCTCCGTTAATCATCTCAGCGCTATAATTCGACTTTTTCATGCTTTCAGTTTAATTAAAGTACTCTATGGTATTGACTCCACATATAAACTACCTTATGCACAATATGGAGCATCTCTTTGCTGTTATATAATATTTTCATGTTTGTAACACCTGAGCATTCATTCAGACGTATTTTTGTAATAGCTTATCTAATCTCGTATGCAAATCGAAAGCAACACTAGTCCTAAACGAGGATTTCAAAAAGGAAAAAAATTCCAAAATAGTTGAAAATTTACCACATTCACAGTTTACAAGTCTAAGCACAGAGGTTCAATTGAATGTTTGTTTCTAATATATATATGAGATACGTATTAAAAAAACATTCAAACGAATATTTTTTGTGCTCGTTTTACCGCACACGTTTCATCTGGCATCGCTTGACACAGATTTGTGTATTTGATTTGTAGCCCGCAGCTTTTACAAGACTTTTATGTATAACCTATGACAACGTCACTGATGCTTGTTAGAATACCAATAATATCTATGAAAATTTATCAATTTATTTATTCTGTATTCCACTGTCGACTCATATTACCTATAATTTTAAAGTTTAATAACAAAATATTTTAATCTCAGACCAGAACTTGTCGACGGTATCGCTGCACCACTCGCACCTTGCACCTGACGAACAGCAAGAATACTCTGGGCACCAAATGCACACCCCACAGCAGCGGCCTGTGGAGCGGCCTGGCCGTAGGGATAGGGAGCCCTGGAGTGACACTTTTGCCAGGGAAGGGTTTTCCTTTTCAGCTGCAACACCTTCATTTAGTAAGTTTATTACTGAGATGTAGTTTACATGTTTACTGGTGTAGTTCATTACATTCAGTAATGTTTCCTGGTGAGAAATGCTGTGAGTTGTTTCCACTCACAGCATTTGATAGCAGTGAGTGGAATCTATTTTTTTGTCATGTCTCTCTGCCATATGTACAGTTAGTGTAGCTGTGAAATATGTGGTCTTCGTCAGATATTTGCACTAATCTGTGCCTGATTTATACAAAGGTTGGCCACCGGTTTTTTATGTGAGACGTTCGACTTTTATTTCTGGTTCGATATTGCGCCTTACTTCCATAGCATAGCAAATCATGATTATGTTACTTTTCCTACGCAGAAAAGTTTTGAGTTAAAATGAACATGTTGTATTGTCTCTAATGGTGGCATTTCATGAGAAAAATTGGGGACCATGTATTGTTGGCAAATGTCTCACCATAAGGCTCTCAATTTTTTTTCTCGAAATAATTCGTGTAACTCCTTACGTGTAGTTAATTTTTGTTTCAGATATCACGTCGTTGTGCGGCAACTCCCTACAGCTGTTGTCCATAGCCATACTTCTAATAGCACATCACTTCTGCACTACCGAGTTCTTGAAGGCTTCCAGTGAACAAACTCTACGGAGGCTGTCCACCACTCTTCGATTTTCCTCTTCAAAGAGACAATCTCTCCCGTCTACTGAGAGCTGTTCTTCTCAACTTTCTTCCTCTTGTTACAAACTTCTGACTTCACTTTCCTCGAATTCTGGTCGTGAAAAATCTTTGTGTGCTTTGCAAGCATCACGTTCTAATTACGACAGCGCAAAACACGGGATATCACTTCGGTTCCGGCTTCCGGCTTCATGGAAAATCAGAGAGCCAAAGTCAAACAGGCTTTTCTCGTTCTCAGACTCTAAAGTTCTTTAAAATCAGTTCTGAGTGGAAAATAACGTCATTATGTTCCTAGTCTTGTATTTATTCTGTACTTTTAGGCTGCTGCTCATGGAAAGAATCTAAAACAATCCATCAATTTAGGAGGATTGTTTCATTTTCTTTCTTCTTGTGTTAAACTTGTTAATGGTAATTGCATTGTTATCGGCTAATGTCATGTGTGCATTTCAATTTCTTGATGTGCTAGTGGGTACAGTTTAGCTTATAATATTAGGCAAGGGATATTGGGAATATCGTGTAATATACGACAGTTTTAGGCCCTTCAACAAGCGCAAGACATTTTGAATAAACATTCTCTTGTGTGGAAAAATACAAATTAATACAAGCTGCAAGAAGAGTGTAATGTACAATTATTTTACTGCGTTAGTGTAAAGTAAATGAAAGAATGATTTTCAGTCTCGGGCAGACACATCTGATTTTGTTCATTGATAAATACACAGTCCCAAACCTGATAAACTCTCGGAGATATGAGTGAGACTTTGATCAACGACCGATGCACTTTTTAACTTACGTGGGTCATCCTGCCCCAGGTTGGTTAGGGAAATGGGCGCATCAGTGCTAACATCGCTCTTCATTTATACTGTTGGTTAAAGGTGTGTCACCATTTGGGCAAAATACCCATTCATTTTTCTGATTGCATATGCAGGTGCGTTCAGTAGGCAACTTACTTCATCTCCTGCGCCGAGGCACAGAAACTTTTGAACCGAAATATCCCAAAGCTTTACGAATTTCTTGTATATAACGAATGTAAATATGGTGAGAAGATTGGTACAATATTCGGTGGAGAATCTTGACATCGTACTACGAGTAATTCACCGTTGGCTGGTTTAAAAAAACTTTATCTACGCATTAAATGTTGATATTACGTTGAAAGCGCATGAAAGTACGGATTTATGGGTTGTATTAACTACCATAAATGCTTATGTGCTTCTAGGATTACGGAAATTCAATATGAAAATAAAGTATTAGTACTTTAAATTGATCTAGTGCGTTGTTCTAGATTGATTCCCTGTATATTCTATATATTTTGAATCTTCTTTAGAATTTTAATGTCATAACTTATTTCAAGATAGCATGAATTTATACCATATCTTTTACACAATTTGAATATATTTTTTGATGACGCCATTACCAAACCTGTGTTTTTCTTTGGATAAAATACTTGCTATTTACTTGTTATTTTATTTTGTTCTTTTTCTTAATTTTGTTTTAACGTTGAAGTTTTTTTACTTTATTTCGTCTCTACGCATTAAAATGAAGTTGAGAATATTTTCATTCATGAATCTTACTTAATCTCGTCATTTTGATGCGAATTCAACTACCAAGTTGATTAAATTATAATACTAATGAGTCTCTGAACGCAATAATCTTTAACTCAAGCTCAAAATGTTAATTTGAAACCGTTTCAACTGAATATTTACACCAAGTGAATGACGCAGGAAACGATGAGTAAAGTGATGACAATATTCACTGTAAACATTCCACGTGTGCAGGCCACGAGTCATGCTGTGCAAAACTTGTTTGCTTGTTGATTCGCATTTGCCAATCTCAACACTTGAGAAAACTTCAATAATTCCGTCTACTTTAAAATTCATTCTGTTATGCTCACCGGCAGCAGCCGATCGACGTCCATGATGAGGCAGCAGCAACTATTGTATTGAATCTATGAAGGAAATTGCATCTCTAGAGACTCGAAATATTCATGCTTCAAACATTTAATTCCATAAAACTGATTCATTTATGCCGGGATTATGACGTCACGTAAGATTTTTGCCGAGTCCCCCTGTATTTACTTTGCATTTGTTCCGATGTTCCTGCAAACTTGGATGTGCAGAGCATCCACGTTTTCTGTGGACATTGAAGCGCTGCAATTGTGATGAAAATGCAGCAATTGTTATGACTTAATTGACTTGATTGAAACTTAATTTTTGTATGTCGAGACCTGAGATCGGATAACTAGATTGGGGTAAATCTTTTACAGGCTGAGCTTGAAATCCTATGATTACACATAGCCAAGCACGTGTCGTTGGGAGATTTTGTATTAGTTTTTTATAAAGATTTTGAATCTTGATACATTTAAGTTTGTATATTGTAAAGAAAACTCGTTGAATTTCACTAAAGATTGAAATTATTACTAAATGAGGAATGATCTCCGAGTTTACTCACAAAATATTACTGCTTAATATGAATTTTGTTTACTTGCCAATTCCAAAATACTTGTTAAGATAGAAGGAGAATTTTCTATCAAGTAGAGTGTATGGGTCACAAAAAGCAATTATATTCCAAAAATTATTAACTCCCGGCATTTATGGTTATTTTCCCCTTTAATATTCAATCCTTCTGATTCCTCAGAAATCTTAAATCTATTCTTTTGTAATTACGCCTTTTAATTTAAAAGTTAAAAACATTTAAATTTCATATTTACTAACTCGGATCGTTCAGCTCAGGTAGACAATTTCATAAATTCGATGAATTTATTTCAATTTTTCTATTTTAATTTCCTGCTTCAATTTTTTTGAATTATTACAATATTCTCTCATAAAATTTGGTTGAAAGATCATTTCAATATCAAATTAGTTTTGATAATTCTTTTTCAATCAATTGTTGTTAACTTTCTGAAAATATAGAAAAAACATCGGTATGATGAATAACGTGAATATGAACGACTAAGCTATTTGAGTGAAACTAAGGTTTTATTTGAGAGTTGATGAATGCTTGCATCATAAATTTAAAACAGGGAGTTTTCTTCAATTTTCTCACTCATCGTGCTCTCTAAACATAAACAAAATATGCATATCAGGCATGATTATCTTCGTTACACGATTTATTGTCAAATGTTTGCTAATAAAATTTGTTCTTTCGAACTGGAATTACTTTCATTGAAAATCCTAGTTACATTTTTGAGCTGTCAGCCGCTCATTATCGTTCGTCCCAGAGTGTCATGCTGATATAATACCGGATATAATATCTGATATAATAATTTCTACAGTGATTTTAATTCATGGTTTTGAATAATATATATCGTGATTAAGGTTGAGGCAAATTTTTCTTCAAAAAAATACCCAAGAAAAAAATTATTTTCTTATTGCCGGAAATCTGGAAGTCAGCTGAAATTATTTTAAAAAAATTTTTTCGTAACTGGAAAATTAAAGTCTCAAGCCATGTTGGCGGTTTACTTCTTCAATAGCTTCAATTATTCATGCGAACAATATTGAACTATTGTCACGATCGAGTTGGACACATTTTTCCAATAACATAAGTTAGATAGGTCATCCAAGAATTAATGACCACAATTCATTTTTCATCTCATGAAAGTTACAGAATAAATTTTAATTATTGAATATTGCATCAATATCAGCAGGAGGAATATCCTGAAACATCGCACGAGAGACACCAAGTCGTTCCATAACAAATGTTTGTCGTTAATTAACGTTCTATTTTATAACAAACGTGCACTCAAGGAAATGAGTGAGACATTGTTTAAAAACAATGCAATTCATGCAATTAAGCGAGTCATTCTAACCCATTTTAGCTGGAAATAGAGCGCATTTGCTCGTGTAGTTTTTCAGAAAGTATTTAAATATATGGACAATACGATTTATCTAACTCTTAAACATAGCAAAGTCAAGTTTGACCCCGAACAAGATACGTGCAATGACAACTAGACTCCTGCGTCTCGAAATAATTTTCTCGAAATGAACCGGGACAGACGAAACGAGACGAGAAAATTCCGGGAAAAAAATAACGGGACAGAGGGTAATACATAATATAAATTACAGAATAAAACTGTACCGTTACGAACAATTTCGGTGTAATGTTGTCAACCTCAGCCTGTTAATAGTGTCAACATGTTTGTTGTTACCAGAGGTGGGCAGTAGCGCGCTACATGTAGCGGTCGCTATATTTTCGGTAGCGGTAGCGGCGCTACATTTAAGCCATTGTAGCGGTAGCGGTAGCGCCCGCTACATTTAGAGCATGTAGCGGTAGCGGCCGCTACATTTCAAAGGAGCGCTGCCCAGCTCTGTATAAATGTATGACGGTAAAAAAAAGTTTACACCGCATCAAAAATTGATTAGTCTCGTTATGTCTCGTTAAAATGGCTGTAAATTCCGGGAAATTTTAAGGTACCTATTTTAACCGGGACGTCTCGTCTCGTCTCGGTATCGTCCCGGAATTCCAACGGAAGGCTGAAAATTGTCCCGGTTTTTATTGCGAACCGGGACAGAGCCTGTTGTCTCGTCTCGTCTCGTCTCGGATTAAAAAAAATACCAAACGCAGGAGTCTAATGACAACGTATCAATGGAGTTGTTAGCCGACAAGTCGTCAATCATGCCGTTCATTTTAAAAACATATGATCTCTAGTGTCTTTGTCTTAGTTGAAGAAAAGTGCCTACACCGATTATATGATGTTTCTATAGTGAGATTGGACAGACAGAAACTAAACGCTTTGTTGTTTGTAGCGCATAACAATTAAGGAGAAGGGTTGCCGAGGTGAGGTGGAAGGGTGGTCTGAAGAAGGGAAATTTGAGCAGCGAAGGAGGTAAAAAAATAGTGAAAAGAATAATAACAAAGAGGATGAAGTCTGGGAGAACTGAAGTCCTCAGACCATTTGACCGAAGCTTGAGCACGGGCCCTGAACATTCCCTGCAGGCGATTGAACATTTGCCGTGCAGCCCAACCTGCGACGCTCGGTTGAGACCTGGACGGCATGCGATTTTACTAGTCGCTTATGAAGAGAACTATGAATTATTTACACAGTTACATAAATTAAATAGATCACTGTTCCTCATTTATCGATCACTGCTCTTCATTTCTCGATCACTGCTCCTCATTTCTCGAATTTTAAATGCAGTATTGATGAGGTACGTATAACAGAATTACGGGTTCTCGTGTTAATTTGTGTTTAAAGCTTCGTCAATACTTACAATTGTTGGAAAAATTTCGGTAATTTTTGAGCGTTCTGACAAGGCATGCATAGGGTTGAAGTAATCATCAACATCTTTGGTTAATTTCAATTATTTTAATGTGAGGTAAAATTTCAACTTGATGATATCGTAGTTTAGTCTTCCACATCATGAACGAACGGAAAAAGATAAATTTGTAAAAAGAGGAAATTGTTACAAAATTCTTTTGAAGAAACTCGCCTGAATATTTTAGTGCTAGGAGTTACTGTTTCATCAGCGCTGCCCCGACCGATTCTTGCAATAATATGAACCGAATGGACCTGGCTTTAGGAATAGCAAATGCCTTCAAAATGTTCTGCGTACGCGGTGCGATAAAGTAACATAAAGCAACGCAATGAAGCAATGTTCTGCATTATTCCGCAGGCAATACCAAACTCGAAAATTTTGCGAAAGCTACTTTAGTTTTGCATCTTTTATAATGCAAGCACTATTTTTTTAAAAGCACGCATTAATGCAAGCACACATAGCACGATTATAATTTTTATCAAGTTGATTTTTCACGTACTATCATTTTAAGATTTACGGTACTCTCAATGTTCCTCCCGCTTGTCATCCGAAATCTCTGTCTTAATCGCTTCATCACAACGCTGATATCTCCTATTCACAAATTTAGCTTCAATATTGTCCTTTCTCTCGAAGCATTCAATGTCTTTCGTATCGTTAATTTACAGCAGTAACGTAATCGAAGAGCGGCGTGGTTTACGTATCGCGTGTGGCCGAGCAATGCTCCTGCACATGCAAATAGCTTCCACGTTTGTGTTCGAAGCGATTGCGCCGTTACTTACTCGTGTGAACACTCATAGAAATAATTAAAATATTGTCCAAACTGTGATGCATTTTTAGCTCCTGTGTGGGTCTTGGTCTAGTTTACCCCGGCACCTAGGACGTATCAAAGATATGTCCGCTCTCTGCTCGTGCTGTTTGTAAGAAATTGCATGAGTCACTATGTGGACTATTAATTTTTCCCAGTGTATAGCGTGTATCCGAACAATGTGGTTAGGCACGCAAATAGCCTTTATGTTTGTGCTCGAGAGGCTCGCGTGAGACGCTACTTATACTCGTGCGAGACGCACTCTTCACACTGGCACATGCGCCCGAAATTACAACCTTGTTAGCGTGAATGTTTCAAAAATTGCATCGTTCCATCCCACTGAGATTTTATTTGGTGAGAAACGCAATTCATTTTGCTTCCTGATGTTAATT